GAGCCATGAATTGAACACACTTAATAAATGCAGAAGGAAAATTGAATACATAGCGTCCATATAAATGCAAAAATTTTTGGTAGGAAGAAATATAATTTTACTTATTGAAGGAGTCTCCTAATATTCCTGCAAAATTCTTTTAAATAAAGTCATACAAGTATACAATTGAAACACTAACAGATCTTAAATATACCCACAGAAGTTCCTGAAACATGAAATAACACACAAAGATATGATAAAAGTTGACAACATACCAGTCATTGCAAAATATAAACTTCCACATCAAGGTTGTATACAAATAAAATTCAGCATCATCTGCTTTTGCGGCGATTTTTTGCAGCAGCACAGTCTGAACAATACCATTTTCCTTTAGGTTGTTCTTTAAGACCAACACATCCAAAATGAAACCATTCTATCTTGCACTGTTGAAAGAAGCAAAGACTTGTGTATTGGATAAATTTAGAAAACAAGGCAAAAGATATTTTCCAAGAGAGATAAACAATAAACTCAGTTACATACATCAGGGTTATCGCATGCCACCATCTCACCAAAGCTGACTTGGTTGCAGAAACAGTATGTGGGCTCATTTGGATCCACTGGTAAATCTAGCTCCATGCCAGTTGAATTAGCAGCAGCAGCAGCAGCTGCTGCTACTTCTGTTGCTGCTGCCACTGCTGCCGTTGCTGTTGCCAGCCGTGTTCTGCACCATAGAAGGGTTCAAGCAAATGTCATGGTTCGAAATTTGTCACAGGTATACCAGAGAAGCATGTCCAGTGTGCATGAATAAGGACTTTATTTTTCAAGCCAAGCTTTCTACTGTATGGAGAAAAACAAGAGAATATTGTTTGGGTCACATGGTGTGGTTTAGATCACTCATGGCTCATAACCAATTTTGACCCAGACCAACTGGATCACAAAATTTTGGAACTGTGATAAACTATGGTTCCATACAGAACTTCACAAAATCACTTGATCCACTTCAGGTCAGTTCAATTCTAGGGTGATCTCAGACAACTTGCACAAGTAATAGTGAAAATGACTTCCTCAGGAAGGTGAAGCAAGAATCAACAGCACAATAACAGCTAACAAAACAAGTTTAAGCAATCTATAAGGAGACCAAATATAAGGATATCTAGGATGAGTGGATACTTTTTATGCCTTCCTCTTCCACCTTCACTACTTCTTCCAGATTTTGCACTGCCATCAAGACTTGTAGCAGGCAAAACAGCAGCAGCAGCAGCATTCTCTCTTTCTGTCAAAAACCATACACATATATTCCAAGTTCAAAATCTAACCAAGGTGGACATATTTCAGAACTGATAAAAGATGTATATGAAGATGAAAAATGAAAATTAGTAACACACCACGCCGGAGTTCTTCATCAAATCTTTTCAAATATTGATCAAGCTGTTGTATGTGTGTATCTACCTGAATCATGATTACATCACAAACAGTCAGAGTATTGAATGATAACCATGCAAAGGAGATTGATCCCCATCCACAATTCCACATAATTTAGACCTGGGTCCAAAATCAAGATCATTAAATTTTGCAACTAAATTGAACTAGTTCACTGCATTTTTGGTGGCACCAGGCACAGAAGCAAGTAGGACAAGGAGAAAATCCACGATAAATGCTTCGTGCTAAATGTCTTACAATAGGGGAAAGGAAAAGGAAAAGAATCAGATAAATGCTATCACAAACACTATCATTCATCCTTACCATGAAAGAAAAAGGATCAATTTAATTTCCAAAGAAAGTCCACAAGAGAATCATACATTTATTCTTTTAATGAGGTAAGACTAACACCCAACCCATCAATGAAATAAATATAATTAACCTGTGACTTATTGATTACCAATCCAATTGTAAAATACTGAAACATAAGTAGCCATAAAATAAACAGAACATCATGATTTCCACAACATTTGACCTTAAAATATAATGTGCATCTGCAAAGGCTAGACAAAATTCCACTGACACCTTTGACAGCAAATGCTAAAAAAAATGTGATACTGTCAAATAAACCACGATCCAGGAAAAAAGGGATGACAATTGCAAACTAAAGATTTGGCAAAAACACAACAAAAAACAATAAAAGCCAAATAACATACAACAACTAGTACTGTCAATCACATTTACTGAACATAAGATCAAAGATATAAGTCCATAAGTTCAATATTGAAGTCACAAGGAGAATCAACAGACCAAATCATAAGCTTGAACAGCCAAGGCAACTTTTTCATCTGCAATCCTGATGCTATGTTTTTGCTCATCAAGTGCTTCATCAGAGAATCTAATAAGTGAAGTATCTGTGTAATATTTCCAGCCCTGACACCATTCTTGATATCCTCTATTTCTTGTTCACAATGTTGTTCATTTTGTCTCACAATTTCTGTTCATATACAAAACACAAAAATGTGGTTAAGGTCACAAGTGAAAACAGGATAGTAGAAAGCCAGGTATGTTACAATAACCATAACTTTATCTTTACATATAAAAAAGAAAACAAAAGGGAAAAAAGTGCTTCATGACTAGATGCTAACACAGCATCACAAGTTTACACAGCCACATAAACCTGGGGTTCTGGGGGAGGGTATGGCAAAAAAAATATCACCTTGATAACTGAACTCACATTATTAACTTGAAGACAAAACAAAGATCATAAGTCACACAACAATAAAAGCATCTAGAAAAGACAATTTTACTCTTTGGACATTTGGAATTTTCACCTATAGCACTAAATGCAGCAGAAAACTAACAATAGAATTATGGTAGTGAAGAAATGAAGAGAGCATTCACAAAGCAATAATTGTCTCTTTAAAGGATACCTTGCAAACTTTTGTCCAGATCACGGATCAATGCATACTTCTTTTGTAGAATATTTGGTAGTGATTCCAGATCTGTCCAAAGGCAAAACAGTTAACCTATTCAATAACCTAAAGAATGAGGATAAGAAATGTCATTAAGATTTGCCAAAACAGCATATATATTGCTCAAACTGGGGGGTCCATACGATATATCCACCTAATTAACACAACCAAAATCAACTATCCTTTAATTCAAAAAAGATTGGATGTAATATAAGTCATTTTACTCCACTTTGCTTGACTTAGGGCCATGCTTCCGCAGAGGTGTTCAAATTAATTCATTCCATTGACTGAAAAATGGAAATAAGCGTTGATCTTGAACAATGGTACAGAACAACTTTATTTTAAAAAAAAAAAAAAAAATCTGTGCCCAATTGTAAATAACATGAAGAATTTTCATAATCAATTTATTCCGTGCCAAAGTATCAACACAATGAAACAACAAAGAGAAGGTCCAATCAAAAGTAATTCGCATACACACTTGGCTAACCATTTTACTTGACTATTAAACAACAACTGGTATTTATTGAAAAATAGAATCTGCATAATAATTACACATTGCAACAGACATTATCTATAATGAGCAACCACAAGCTCTGTTTATCATCATAAAAAATGAGTTTATCCATTCATTTTCCACCTTAAAAGAGATAGTCTTGGAACAAAAAGGTGCCTTAATTTTATTCCCTTCCTACATTCTTAAGTTCAAACTGCATGATACCGAGAAACTAGCCTGGTTTGCTACCTTTTGACATGGCTTCTTGCAAGTAAGCATCCAAGATTTTGCAATTGGCATGAATATTTTTAGATGACCTAATTTTTGAAAGAATTATATGCCATCGGTAAAGATTATTCAAAAACAAAAAAACTCTACGGGAAATAAAGATCAAATTTTTCTCCCTTCCCACCTTTCCCAACCTACAAAAATTCGGTTCTTTCTTCGTTTCCACCATCCAATGCCAATCACACAACAATCAAAAACTAAATAGATGACGCTAACAACTTCATGGTCTCTACAGCTTGCTTAATTTTTTCTTTTAGAAAATAATTATTGAGCTGAAACAACATAGAATAAGCGAAATGCTAAACAAAAAAAATGGGGGATTGTTATTTTCCTTGAAAAATACGTGACATAGATTTACTAATTGAATTGTATATATCATCACCATCATCATCATCATCCCTGAGGGAATCAAATTTAACTAGGGTTTTTTATTTTTTTTTCTACAGCATAAAATGATTTTAAACAAGAAAAAAAAAGCTATATGAAAAATAAAAAAAAAATTGAAGGGGAAAACGTGGAAATAGAAAGCTTACTGGCTTGAAATTCATCAATGAAGGACATTTGCGATTAAAGGTCTCAATTTCGCGGCCGATTTCGATGGAGTTTTCGGTACCTTCCCGCCACTGCTACAACGGATTCGGAGCCCTAGAACTACAATTTAGTGAATGCTGAATGACATATTTAGCCTTCTGATTTCAAATAATATCCCATTTACCATTTTCTTTTTTTTTTTCTTTTTTTTTGGCACGATGAGAGGATTTAGTGGACGTACGTCAACGAACTTATTTAATCTCAACAGTAGATTTACTTAGAGAAACTAATATAAACTTCTGTGTTATTAATTTAAAAATGAAGTTAACTTTTGTGTTTCTTTATGAAAATGAATGAAAAAAATATAATTAACATACTATTAATATAAACTCTAAAATGACTAACAACTTAATTAATTTAATAATAATATTTTAATAAAAATATAAAATTTTAAATTTAAACTACAAAATAGACAAATAAAATAAATAAAAAATAAAAAAAATTAATTTTTCATTCGTACAATTTAAAATAAAATAAAATAAAACCATATATCCTAAATGAAGAGGATTACTTTTGCAACTAAAAAAAATAAAAAACCCAATTATGAACTTTGTCATGGCATTGCCCACTGAGCTATTATTGCTGCGCCGCCCAGAAGGTAACCTTTTATTTTATTTTATTTATTAAAGTTGGTGGCGTTTGGCAAGAACGTTGATTTTATTTCATTCTCGCTGTTTACCTTGTGGCATGCCTGCCCCTCTATTTAAAAGTAGTACAGATGAACCCTTATATTTAACAAAATTCCGAAATAAACTTTTCTGTAAAGAATGACATCATTTTTCCATCTTGGTCTCTACTGCCCCGTTAACATAAGCTTACTCGGTGCTAATTGGGCGTGACTTGGTAAGAGTTGCATAACCTAGCATGAGCCATTATACTTAAGCTCACGTGGCTAAGTAATTAATTTAATGGAGAATAATCTTTTAAATTTAGTACTCTTAATTAATTTTATAATATTTTATATATTTTTATTAATTTTAATTAATATTTTATATATTTAATTTTAAAATAATAAAAAACCAAACAGAAAAATTTTACAACCCAAACTCAGTATAACACAATATAACATATTCGGACTAAACCTTAAAAACTTACAAATTCTTTTGAGTTGGATTCTGAAAGACTTCTAAATCTGTACTTAATATTTTTCTTTATAGAATGTACTTAAGTTTTTTTAAAATAATCTTAATAAAGTATGTGTATATATATACATATATAATTTGCTCATAAAATAACTTTTTACGTGAAACTCTATGACGATTCCTCCACCTAAAATTTTACTCCCTACAAAACCTTGCAAACTCATGTTTGGGGAATGGGTGACTAAATAGAAATTTCACTTAAAATACTACTCCATTTTCAAATTATTTTTTAAAGTTGCATTTGCTGTTATCCACTGTTTTGTACTTATTGATTCTTTATCAATAATATTTGTATCTATTTTGGAATAAAACTTGAATTTTGACTACTGTTAGTGATTTTTGTACATAAGGTAAATAGATATATAGTTGATAAATTTACATAATTCTGGAAAAAATTATTGGCCCAAACTTAGTCTATTAGGCATTTAAACAATGAATGTATCTGGGTATTTTTCACTATTCTATAGAAGCTCATTAGGTAATATTGCTAGATATTTTTAACTTCTATAATTAGTAGACATTTGGTCAATTCCCTTTTTTCTGCCATGCTGTGAGCTGAGGGAGATGAAAGAAGATGTCAAGTTGTGTAATTTATTGCCAGGTTATACCCAATCAGCGTCAGGTAAGCTCATGTTAACAGGGCAATAGAAAGCGAGACGGTAAGATGGAGTCATCTTTAATAAAAGGGTTCATTTGCAGGTTTTGTTAAGCAAAGGGGTCAATTTACATTACTTTTAAGTAGAAGGGCTGACATGCTGCAAGTGAAGCAAAGCGAAGAGGCTAAATTGGACCTTGTGCCTGAAAAAGGAGGTTGTGCAACTCTATCTTCCATCTCCAACCCTTTTCTACTCTGCTACTCAAAAACCCAATTTGCCAATCAACCTCGTCTGTGAATCCGTCCCTCTCTCCCAAAATGGCCGATGCTATAGTTTCTTTTGTCCTAGACCAGCTAACGACAACCATCGTTGACAAGGCCTCTGAAGAAGTGGGGCTGCTAGTTGGTGTTGAGAAAGAAGTGAGAAAGCTTGAAAGAAATCTCCGTCTCATCAATACTGTTCTCCGAGATGCTGAGGAGAAGAAAATAGCGGACGATCTTGTCAAAGAATGGCTGGATAGGCTCAAAGAAGCTTCTTACGACATGGAGGATGCATTGGATGAGTGGAGAACTACAGTAGAGATCGAAGCACTTGAAGCACAAACTGCTGCTTCTCAGAAGAAGGTAATCTTACACACACTAATTAATCTCAACCTCTAGATGCATTCATTTAATTCAATTCATTGTAATTATGATGTCTTACAAACATCAAATATTTCTAAAATAGTGAGTTAATTACTATCAATTTTAAACAGGCACTGTGCAATTTAATTTCGTGCTTTTCTATTCGTCGTGTATATACCCATCGTAAAATTGCTCTCAACATAAAGGAAATCAATCAAAGATTAGATGATATTGTAAAGGAGAAAGATAAGTATCAGTTGCAGCTGATGTCGATGAGTAACACAATCAATCATCCTCAACAACAGCGAGAAACTTCGTCTTTTGTGGATGTGTCAAAACTATGTGGTCGGGATAAGGAGAAGGCAAAAATACTGAACCATTTGCGGGGAGGGAGTGTTGAAGAGGAGACTGTTGAACTAATCCCTACCATATCTATAGTAGGGATGGGGGGGTTAGGAAAGACTGCTCTTGCACAACTGATATGTAATGACGATGATGTTAAAGAGCATTTTGACAGAGTAATCTGGGTTTGTGTCTCTGACCTTTTTTATGAGAAAAAAGTTGCAGGGGCAATCATTCAAGGGCTTGAAAAACTTAGTGATAGTGCTGCATATGGCCTAGAATGGAATCCATTGCAGGTCCTTTTGGAAAGGATTTCTAGCTCTATCCGGGGAATGAAATATTTTCTTATTTTAGATGACTTTTGGGATGGAAATAAAGGCGAGAGGTGGGAAGGACTGAAAACCACTTTCAAATTTGGTGCCCTAGGAAGCAGAATTTTGGTTACTACACGTGATGTTGAAGTTGCAAAAATGATGGGGTCCTCTTCCTCACAAATCATTTCTCTGGAGAAATTGGGCAATGAGCAATGTTGGTCAATAATTAAACATATAGCATTAGGAGGAAGGGATGATCAGAGTTTGGAGAAAATTGGGAGAGAAATTGCAGAGAAGTGTAAGGGCTTACCGCTTGCTGCCAAAACTCTGGGAAGCCTTTTAAAGTCTAAAAGAAGCAAAAGAGAGTGGCAAAGTGTCTTGAATAGTGAAATATGGAAATTAGAATTGGCACAAAAGGATATTTTTGCTCCTTTGTTGCTGAGTTATTATGATTTGCCCCCTCCAGTAAAGCAGTGCTTAGTGTGTTGTGTTCTTTTTCCCAAAGATCACCTCATTTTTCCTCACGTACTAATTCCACAATGGATGGCCATGGGTTATTTAGGGTCGGATGGTAATGCAGATTTGGAGTCGAAAGGGGAAGAGTACTTCCGCATCTTAGTAGATCGCTCTTTCTTTCAAGATTTTACAATACTTGAAGGAGATATTTTTTTTTGTAAGATGCATGACATAATACATGATTTTGCTCGGTATTTGGCGGAGAATGAGTTTGCCATAAAAGAGATCAACTCAGACCATTTGACTATAGATGGGTCAAAGAATCGTCACTTGACAGTGATGATTGATGAAGGGATCTCTTTTCCTACATATATTTCTGGTGCAGAAAAATTGCGAGCCCTTATAACTTTCACTGGAGAGGGTGCACTGACTTATGAGGCCTTGCGTGGCTTGTTTAATTATTGCAGACGCTTAAGGGTATTGAGTTTTGGTTGGCCTGATGGAACTGATCATTTATGCAAAGAAATTCCTGAAGGAATAGGGAAATTGATACACTTGAGATTCTTTCACTTAAGTTCTAGTAAAAAATTAGAAAGGCTGCCTGAAGCACTCTGCAACCTACTTAATTTGGAGTCTTTGGATTTGTGGCGCTGCAGAAATCTCAAGCAGTTGCCAGATTCAATAGGAAAATTAATCAACTTGAGGTATCTTTCTACTGGTGGTTGCTCTGCTCTGACTCAATATCCAAAAGGCGTTCAGAAATTGACTTCTCTTAGACATTTAAGGGGGCTCATTGCCAGAGCTGATCGTAATGACGCTAAAGAATTTTGCCTTGCTGATCTTGGAAACTTGAAGCACCTCCGTGTACTGCATTTGAAAGTGGTGGGGAATTCAATCGATATGGAGCAGACTAGAAAAGCTCAACTTCAGGACACCCAGTGGTTGGCTATATTTTTGGCTGGCAGTATTCAGAGAGCAGACATAATTGAAGCCTTAGACCCAGATCGAAACATATCAAATTTAAGGTTCTGCGGCGACTACTGGTTCACACCACGCCGACCATCCTAATGAATACAAAAGGTAATCCATTTATCCTATATAAATGCTCTTTTTCAATTTTCCCAATGAGAAATCATCCTATATATGTGCTCGTCAAATTGATATTTCTCTTCAAACATCGCTGATTTCTAATTAAGCTTCCTCATACTATCCAAATGTGGACTTTGCTTTGCAATTGACTGCTACTCTACGTGGGATGCAGCTTGCTTTCCCAAGGTAATGTTTTATACCATATAAAACAGTAATGCTTTCATTTTTCTAAATTAAAAAAGTATTGTATTGTTTAAAATATATAATTTAAACTATTAGATAAAAGGTAAACCTTTTAATATTAAAGATGTTTTTTATCTAATAGTTTTTATTTTATAATTTTATATAATTCAAATTATAAGGGATTCTTTGTAATTATTGCTATAAAAATAAATATATTTACAGAAGGACCACATGTATATTTTGCAGGAATTGAACGTGCTTGTGGCGAGGAGAGATTTCGAATGTTGCGTGATCGGTTGTTTTAATTTCCAGTTATTTTGTATTAGGAAGGTTGTTTAAATTTCCAGTTATTATTATTTTTTTTGAACAATTTGTAATTATTTACAAGGTTAATTGGGGAGGGGGGAAAGGGTTTCCGTGGGACTCGAACGTGCAACCCACGGAGGTGAACAATCCTAACTTAGGGTCCAATACCACTAGATCGGAACGGGCCGTTCTTCCAATTATTTTGTATTAGGAATGTTATGTACAAGAATTATCAATTATGGGCTCGAAACTTATCGTGCGTGCCGCTCTCATTTTCCATCTTGGGTGTGAGATTTCAGAATTGGGATTTTTTATTTTTTGGTCGACTTCTTGTTGTCGTTGTTTTTTAATTTTTTTTT